TCGCGGCTTGTGAAGGACTAACATGACGTCGCTGCCAAGTTTATGACGTCACAATGCATAGGTAAGCTCGCTGACTAGATAGTTTACAGAAAGATAAGTCCAACCTATTTTTGCAAGATGATGCAACAGGTATAAAAAAAGATGATGCAACAGATATAAAAAGATGATGCAACAGGTATCAAAAAGATGATGCAATAGATATCAAAAAGATGATGCAATAGATCTAAAAAGATGATGCAACATATGTACTGAATTGACCCGGCTATCCCCCATAGGGGCTGCACTCTCTAGACCCACCTATCCCCTCCAGGGGCTGCACTCCCTTGACCCACCTATACCCCTCCAAACCTGCACTCCGTTGACCCGCTTATCCCCCTCAGCCCCAAAAGTGCACTCAGTTGACCACCCCATCCAGGCCCCTTATACTACTAATGTTTTTACTCATTAAACATCATGTCCCCGGGGGTAGGGCGGGGCCACAATGGCCGACCAAATTTCTACATAGAAACATATAGGAAATTTTTTTTAAAATCTTCTTCTCAAGAATCACTGTGCCAGGAAAGATGAAACTTATATGCATCGAAGACGTTAAAGCTAATCTTACAACCAAAATCTATGATAAACGTGATGACTTTAACTTTTCAAACGTCAACTTCCCGTACTTATGCAGCAGCACAGTTAAGGTTACAAATGGAAAAATCGGGCGATTTTTAAAGATAAAAAACACATATTTTATAAGGATGGGCGATTCCTTTAAGGACTTCACTGATATAAAAAAAATGTAATTTGGTTCAAATCTACATGTGAAAACATTTAGATTTTTTTATTTAGACTTGTCACGTGATGTCGAAGTCACATGATTTAAGCAATTATACTTGAAGTTTAGAGATCATCTATAAATTCCAATATTGCAAAGTCATAACCAAGTTAAAGATCTTAGTTTAATTTATAATTTTTTTCAACACTATATGTAGTTTGTGAAAAATGCTGCGAACCTATACAGATTCCCTTATTTAATTGCTAAAATTTAATTTGTTGGGCGGCAGGTTGAATATTTTGCTGGTCAATTACATTAAATATAGCTATAATTTTTAAAATTTATTCGCAAGATTTCATGAGGTTCGCAGCACTTTTCAAATACCTTATTGCTTCTTGAGTTTATGTGTAAAAACTTGGCAAGATACATTGAGGGTATGCCCTTGCAATAAATCGATTTACTAGGGCCCTTCTATTACTTTTTCAATGAATATGCAGACAAACACGCGTCAGTATCACTTGTCTGGCAAATATACGGACAGTTTATAAATAAAATAGTAAACTAGATATCGCATCCAAGAGAACAGCTTTTTCTTTAACTCCAAATAATATTTTATATCAGAAGAAAAGACATTTTTCATTGTACAAAATGTGACTTGATCAACCTCTCACTGTGTACATGCGAGATGACGTCACATTGACAAGTGCATGGCGATCGATGCATCGTTTATATATTGTTGTGTGGGATTTAACAAACGACAAAACTACATGTAATAGTAAGTTTTTATGTAGTCTAAGCTATCCAGCAGTTTGAAATAGCAAATAATATCATTTTGTTGTACTTTGAAGACCTTATATTTTGTGTGACGTCATAGTAAACATTTCCCGTACAAATTAGGCCCCGCCTCCTTACTGTAACCTTAACTGTGCTGCGATATATGCCTTCATCTCTGCATACGAAGTCTATATATGTCAGTTGATTTATTACACAAAAGCATGCGCTACGTATGTACAATTTATAAAATGAGGTAAAATATTGACAAACAAGTTGATGAAACAAGAATATCAGCAGTCTAAAATCACTAATTCGTAAGTTCTATGGTCGATACATTGACCTTGTTAGCAAATGCAATTTATCATTGTTTCAACTAAGGAGCATAAAATGAAATAGATGGAGATAAAGTACAGTATTCAAGCTCAAAAGTCCATAAAACAATACAAAATTGGAGCAGGGCAAACACAGACCTCAGAACATCAGAGGTGGGATCAGGAGCTATGGAGGATCGAGTGAGCATCCCCTGCCGACCGGTCACACCCGCCGTGTGCTCCTTGTCATGATCGGGAAATAACGGGAAAATGTCTACAATTCAGTGTGTAAGTAATGGACTAACAAATAGTATGAAAAACGTCGGGCAACATTTGACTCATTGCATCGACCATAGAACTCACGAAATGATGACTTTAAAGGAGACTGCTGAGTGTTTCATCAACTTGTTTGTCAATAATTTACCTCGTTTTAGAAATTGTTCATACGTAGAGCATGGTCTAGCATATCGGATCAATTAACTGAGATATGCAGTTGATGAAGGTATATTGCTGCATAAGAAAGGGAAGTTAACGATAGCATTGGCGTCGGAAGGAAATTGAAAGAAGGAGGGGACTAAGTGTAAGAGAAAAAATTCATACCTACAAAAAAAACCGACAAGCAAGAAAAAAAAAAGGAAAATATGTACATAGCCAATCACGAAACTTCTATTTGTTGGGGGATGGGGGTGTGAGAGGTTCGAAGTTTCAGTACCAATTTTTTTTTTCAAAATGTTACCAATTACCCCTTTTCTGACATAAACTGCAATATGTCTGTAGAAAGTGGGGGAGGGGGGCTAAACCTACGCCCCAGTGTTCAATATCTATATTATGTCTACCTCTGCAAAAGAGGTGGTGGGGGGCTACGCCCCCCTAGCCCCCCGGTTCCAGCGCCCATGGATAGAAAAGTTAAAGTCATCACGTTTATCATAGAGGTTAGTTGTTTGATTACTCTTAATGTCTTTTTCAAGTAAAGTATCCAAGTATGAAACAGATGTGTCAGACTCTGTGGTATCTTTTATCTCAAGCTCACCATGCAGGATATATCGTATAGACACAGAAATGGAAATTACTAACAAATATACCTTATGACTGGATCGTGTTTTGACTGGCCTTTCCTTCCAAATGATGGGCCTTTGTTTAAATGAACATTGAACTTTGGAAATGTTTCTTTTACCTTATCAATACATTATATAGGACTCATGGCAGATATGACCGGTAAACAAGTGCACAATGCTTACTCCTCCAAGGCACATGAATCCCACCTCTGGAATTTTTTGGGGAAAGGAGGATGGTTTTGAAGATCTGATTACGATTAATGCATTTTTAGTAGATATTGATTCACATTTTAAAACAAGTGGCCCATGGGCCTTATAGGTCACCTGAGTATCATGCAACAACTTTCCAATAAATTAAATTTGATTCATGTTTTAAACCAGAGGCCATGGAATTCTGACACAATTTTGAAAGAGGCACCATTTAAGTTTCATTTCATAATGTTGTTGATTAATACCAAAGTTTCAGATTATGTACCCCCCCCCCCCTCCACCAAGCACCTCTGTCCCAGGGGCCAGTAAAATAATTATTTTTGAAAGAAGCAGCTTTCTTCGTCATAAATATATACTAAGATCATTGGCATAATACCCAAGAAAAAAGGAAAACATTTTCAAAGAATTCATGTATTTTCACTAAATAAACATTAGAGCCACACCCTAACACAAGAAGCCCTGACCCAGGGGCTCTGAAATTCACAAATCTCAAAGAGGCATCCTCCCTTCTCATAACTATATACATAGTTCATTGGTTAAATACCCAGGTGTAGGAAAAAAAGATTTCTAGAGAATTTATGCATTTTCACTATATAATCAATAAAGCCCCACCCTAACACCAGAACCCCTAACCCAGGGGTCATGGAATTCACAAATTTGGAAGAGGCAGCCTTATTCAACATAACTACGTACTTGGTTAGTTTATTTAATACTCAGGAGCAAAGAAGAAGATTTTCAAAGAAATAAATCATTTTTACTATATAATCTATATAGCCCCACCCTAGCACTAGAGCCCCTGACCCTGGGGCCATTAGATTCACAATTTTAGAAGAGGCAGTCTTATTCAACATAGCTATGCACTTTGTTAGTTTATTTAATGCCCACAAACAGAAAAGAAGATTTTCAAAAAATTTTTGCATTTTCACTATATAATCTATATAGCCCCGCCCTAGCACTAAAACCCATTGCCCTGGGGCCATGAAATTCACAATTTTGGAAGAGGCAGTCATTTCCAACTCAACTATGCGCTTGGTTAGTTTATTTAATGCCAAGGAGCAGAAAAGAAGAATTTCAAAGAAATAATGCATTTTCACTATATAACCTATTTAACCCCGCCCTAGTACTAGAACCCCTGACCCTGGGGCCATGAATTTCACAATTTTGGTAGAGGACTCAATGCTGATTACAATCATACTAACAGTTTGACTGCTTGAAGTCCAGGAGTTAAGAAGAAGATTTTTAAAGATTGCACTAATTTTAGTGGTTTTTGCCCCACCCCCAGGCCCCAGGGGGGCAGGGACCATGAAATTCACAAATTTTGTTCCCCTTAACCCATAGATGTTATATGCCAAATTTGGTTGAATTTGGTTCAGTGGTTTTAGAGAAGAAGCTGAAAGTGTTCAAATGTTAACGCACGACGCACACCGCACGACAGACGACGGACGACGGACGACGACGGACAAAAACAGATAGCAATAGGTCACCTGAGTTTACTCAGGTGACCTAAAAAATGTTACTTTTGTGCAATAAAAAAATTACTGTTATTCACTATTGAAAATGTAATTAAGGGATATTCACTTTCTGAATCTTGTCTTAAAGAGTGGTACTGGCATTTTTATATTTAGAGGAATGTGAAGCACAAAAATATAAAGAAATCAAAGAAAATTAAATTTCTAATTCAACAACAAAGCCTTGAATTTTCTGTTTATTACATTTTCTCTTATTTGTTTTTGCCATTTTCGTAATACAGTGCCGTTCGATCTCGTGACGGCCCTGGTAGAACTTTTTTTATTTGATTGCTTGAAATGGATTGATGCATGCCTGGAAATGAAAAAAAAATTCATTTTCTGTATGATTAAATGTTTAAAAATAAAAACTGAATGTATTTTACAGGGCTAATGAGAATGGATGTTGTGTAAATCATTACAATATCGGTACTGAATGCATAGGTATGCATTTCTTAAGAGTCAGTTTCTCTTTCATCGTTTTATGAAATTCAAATTCAAAGTTGATATTGAATACACAAAGCATTAACATTTAATTTGTTTCTGTTGTCTGATTCTGCTTGCTTTTTCAAAATGTCATATTTTTATGCCAATTTACACCAAATCTTTTTAGAGTGTTCTCCGGGATATTTTGGTTACAACTGCTCTTTAACATGTCCGCCGGGATATTTCGGACAACTTTGTTTATCTAAGTGTACATGTAACCTGACGCTGTGTAACCACGTGACTGGATGTGGTGATTATTAATTAATACTTTACTATCTATAGATAAATGGCGAAAATAATTCAATGTCAATATAAAATATTTTAAAAAAACTCTTTATATTTTATAAAATAAAGTACAGTGAATCTTACATAATCAGAAAGATATCTTGAATACAATAAAGCTGAAATAATTAGAGTAATTTAATTTCAGAACTCTAATTATATATCATTTCAATGGTGATTTTTCTATACTTAGAGTCTAATTTATAAGTATGGTTTTAAAAAAAAAAAAGAAGAAAAAGCAATTAATACAGGCAATAAAACATCTCTATCAATTGTACTTATATCTTACGGATATTTATTGCGTAATAATAAAAAAAGATTAAAGTAAAATATATAATAAAAAAATTAATGTTAAAAACATTTTATTTCATTGTTTCAACCAAAGCTATATATATATATATATATATATATATATATATATATATATATATATATATATATATATATATATATATATATATATATATATATAATTTGGAAGTTTTAAATTTAAATTTTACATTTTCAAAATTCAAATTTCCAAAAACGATTTTTGCATTTTAAACATTTGGCTTTTTACCTTATCGCTTGTTTTAGAAAGTTTACGAATATTTATTGTAAAAACCTAAAATGTCAACTTTTCAAAACGTGTTTAGAAATTTGAAAATATAGATTTTTGAACTAAAATTTTGAATTTATATATTCTACAAAAATATTAATATTCTACAATTCCAGATCATTTTTAGAAAGTTGAATTGCTAAATGTCACACGGACCGTAAAGGTATTCAAATGCACTAAATTCGATTTTGACTTACTTGCATACTCCTGTAGGAAACAACTGAACACGTCTGATCAAGTTATTTATAATTCCAGAATGTAGAAAAAGAAATGAAAGGTTTCTCATGTTCCAATTTTTAAAAAATTATACAGAATAAAAAAATACCAACTTCTACATGATCCATTTACAATGCAGTGATATCAGATGTAAAAAAAAAAAAACTGTACACAAAACCTTTCTAAGATGATTGTAAATATATGAACTTCCTACCTCTATCCGTTCTCTCGTTGACATTTTTTATTTTACAACGATTGTTTAAGTTGAATTATTTACATTTCGAAATGGTTTTATTAATAATGTACAGGTCTGCCCTGTTACCTGAGCTGAATTAGGAAAAAAAGATACACAAGGTCACGTAAAAAAATCTCTACAAAGCAACGACACAAAAATTAAATAATATTGATAGTCCAATATTCTTTAAATTTTTATTTTACGAAATGCATCCGGTCTGTCAGTTGTACTGACATGTAGCTCTAGTAAAACTACAAGGGTTGTCCCCTCCAATACTGGCACCTCAAATATTTGTTTGATGGTTTTTCAACAAATGTTCACTTAACTGCCACACGGGATATCGGTTTAGGTAAAGGATGAAAATAACGAAAATTGATCGATCAAAAATAAATCGGTCTCATCCGAAGGATCTGTCTCCAAGGCACGCAAAAGATTCAAACCAGCAACGTAAGAATCAACTAATTCTTCTCCATCGCTCTTGAGCAAGCGCCAAGTCACTGCACAATGTGACTGGAACGAAACAGTGATAAAATGGAAAGTTGACAAACGTAAAACTTTTGCGTGACTAGGGCAAATTTTGTTAAATTCCTTAAAGTAATAGGGTTAGAAACTGTTGCTTTACTTTTTCTTCCCTGTTATTCGCATTTGAAGAAAAAAGTTAGAGAAGTAGATATAGAGAGAGAGAGAGAGAGAGAGAGAGAGAGAGAGAGAGAGAGAGAGAGAGAGAGAGAGAGAAAAAATTACAGAACGCCGATTAAAACTCTACCGGTTTCAATTGTATCATCAGGAGTTTTGACATATTGCTATAGATACAAACAATTCAAAGTATTTTTAAAAAAAATTAGATTTGAAAATTTTGCTGCATGCAGTGATTCAGTCTAAGGGTATTTAAACTCGTGTTTTATGTTCTTTTGTCATTCGACAAAAATTAGCCACGAATTTTCAGGTAGGTTTTAAGATGTCCGATTCAGACGGTAGCTGGCAATCTCCACGTGGTAGTCTGGGGATAAGTGTTACTCAGGACCAAAATAGAGGCGCGTCCAACAACAACGAGTTTAGCCGCAACTGTTCGCTAATTTTGAATGAGGACCTTACTACGTTCCTGCAAGTTAGGTGCAGCGTTAGCCGAGACCAAAAAGGTGCTTTTAAAGGAGTTAGAAGTCAAAATTTCAACCAACGGTTTCAGAGAAAGTTCTGTTGATTCAAGTCGAAACATCACAAAGAAACTTAAGGTACAAGTTTTAAACAGGTTAACAAATTTACAAAGTGACTTTTAATCGTGTTAACTTCAGAAAAAGGAAAATCCGGAAGAATGTCAACCCATTAGATAAATATTTAGTGCCTCATCTCAGTTAATTTGCTTCAAAATATTGCCTCTACTGCTGCAAATCATGGAAACAAGAATAAGTTTATGAACGATAGCGTAACCTTCCTACGGAGGACCACAAGTGATACAATCATTTTATAATTTTCGAATATTAAGAATAATTTTTAATTGTATCTTTACTACGAAATCTAATCCAACCTAACAAAAACCGATAAGTTATTACGAACATCAGCTTTTATACATGTGTATACTTAAAAATGTAATTAACTGATTAATTTTTTAAGCAATGTATGTAAATTACGTGAAAAACTAGGGTTATGTATGAAAAATAAAGAGGTTGGGAACACATCCCCTTTAGCGAGATCATCTCGCTAAATCGCGATAATCTCTCTTTAGCGGAAGAAAAACATTACCATAAACGGGTATTTTGTTGTTTTCATTATAAAATGATCAAAAATCTCGTGTGTTTTGAAAATCCGGGAGAAAGCTGCATTGAAGCGTGAATTTACTACAAAAAACTGACAATATTGGCTAGAAATTTAAGACAATCACTGCTGCTGAGAATAAGAGGCTGAAATCCACGTGTAAATCGTGCCTTTTTTAGCGAAGGTTTCAAGTTTTTCAGTCATATATGTTTTTGAAGCATATAAAATATGTATAGATATCCAAATTAAATTCGATAGGGTCCTAGCTTTCCATTCTTGTACAAAAGTTAAAAATAATGTTCTTAAGAAAACCCATGATATTTGCTTAAATATTTGAATTTTGGTTGACGCTAAGAAGTACGGAAGAGCAAAAGGGTTTACATAACGTTTGTGGAAAAGTCATGATTAAAAAAAAGTATAAATTGAGATGTGTATAGCATATGGATAAACCATTAATTAATTTAATAGAATATTGAAAACAAATTAATAAAAAAAAAGTCTATATTGAGTCTAATCGATATTGACTTATAACAAATGTTGATACATGTATAGTAAACGTGTCAATTCAGGAAGCATGATTCAACGGCGTCGAAAAATTGAAAAAAAAAAGGGGGGGGGAAGGCTAATTCAATGAGAAAAAATTCAACCTGTAAAAAAAAAACTTGACAATAAAGAGGAGAATTTGATCATTGTCCAAACCTTTCCTGCGGGTAGAGGGGGTGGAGGGGTGGGGTTAGGTTCGAACTTTTTTCAGCTACCACTTACCCTTCTCTTCATTAACACTAAAACGTGCCAGTTGAAAGTGAAAAATATGTAACCTTGAATTATTGTTCATAACTATACGAAATTAGAGAAAACAAAAATGTAAAATTGTTGAAATTACTGCTTTTAATGTTGTTATGATTTAAAGAACTATGCCATAGGTATTCATATTTTAATAATGACATAGATTCTTAATATTTTTACCCGGTGGCAATGAACAGTTCTTCGTTTGAGGTAGTTAGGTTGTGCGACTAGATTTCTTTAAATGTAAAATATACCAAGATTCTAATCTGGCATGGTAAAAGCTATCGACATAATCATTTTCAAATCATAACCATTTTAATTGAAGATCTTATCGGTGACCAATAAGACCCTTCTAATAGGAAGCTATTCATATACGGTAGATCATCGCTTATATATAAAGGTGACAATAGCCTCTCTTATTAACTAAATAAAACAATTACAAGGTATATAAAATGTAAAATTCGAAGTATTCCTTGCAGTGTTCGTAGATATTCTTTCAAAATAAAGCATACCTTTAAAAGTATTAATCCGCCCCCAAAATAAGTCTGATATTTTGCCGACTCGACACTTAACAATAAATAATCAATACTTTTGGCATTTAAAAAAAAATGTTTGATTTGGGGGGGGGGGGCAGATTTTTCAGAAGCCCCCTATTTTTAGATATAAAAATGTTCTTTCATGTAGCCTATGTTTTGGAAAGTATCTGATTCCCAATTAAAATTTACACATGTTAACTTATGCAGGATCCCAACATATGTTTCCAACGCAATTAAAATGTCCTCAAACGAAGAACTGTTCATTGCCACCGGGTAAAAACATTAAGAATCTATGTCATTATTAAAATATGAATACCTATGGCATAGTTCTTTAAATCATAACAACATTAAAAGCAGTAATTTCAACAATTTTACATTTTTGTTTTCTCTAATTTCGTATAGTTATGAACAATAATTCAAGGTTACATATTTTTCACTTTCAACTGGCACGTTTTAGTGTTAATGCAGAGAAGGGTAAGTGGTAGCTGAAAAAAGTTCGAACCTAACCCCACCCCTCCACCCCCTCTACCCGCAGGAAAGGTTTGGACAATGATCAAATTCTCCTCTTTTTTGTCAAGTTTTTTTTACAGGTTGAATTTTTTCTCATTGAATTAGCCTTCCCCCCTTTTTTTCAATTTTTCGACGCCGTTGAATCATGTTTCCTGAATTGACACGTTTACTATACATGTATCAACATTTGTTATAAGTCAATATCGGTTAGACTGAATATAAACCCTTTTTTTATTAATTTGTTTTCAATATTCTATTTAATTAATGGTTTATCCATATTCTATACACATCTAAATTTATACTTGTTTTTTAATCATGACTTTTCCACAAATGTTACAACCCTGTTGCGCTTCCGTACTTCTTAGCGTCAACCAAAGTTCAAATATTTAAGCAAATATCATGGGTTTTCTTAAGAACATTAT